GAGGATAAACCTTGAAGCAGATTTGAGGGTATTACGCCGATTCCACGGCGTTGACTGTGAAGGGTCAATACCTTGAGTTGCTTCAGCTCCTTAAAAGGAGGGTGTCTCAATGTATTCTCTGTAAATGAAATGCTGTTGGCGTACAATTCCAAATTTTGGAGGTTGGGCATGCCCGAGAACACATTCAGGTGTCTGGTTAATGTTCTAGCTGTTATTTTGTTTGATGACAGAAGCAGAGAGGTCAGGTTCTTCAGTTCTTCAAAAGCATGGGGCTCAATCTCTGAAATCTGATTGTCTTGTAAGGTCAAACTGGTTAACTGTGACACATTTCTAAAAGTGTATTTTTCTATTTTGCTTAGCTTATTAAAATTAATTTGCAGATCCTTCAGGGAATGTGGCCCATTGCTGAAAGCATCGCCGATCCTTAACAGATTATTTGTTCCGAGCCTTAGGACTTCAAGACTTGTGAGGTCCTTGAACAAGCAGGAATTAATGAGAGAGATTTTGTTACCATACAAGTACAGAGTCTTCAGCTGTGTTAAATTGGCAAAGTCATGACAGGTGAGCTCTTTGATGCTGTTTCTACTGAGATCTAGGAACTCAAGAGTGGAGAGAGTTTGAAAGGAGTTCGTTATTCGGGTCAGTTTATTGATTTGCAGAAGTAGTTTTTTTAGTTGCGTAAAACTACTGAACATACTCTGCGATAACTTGGATATTTCATTTTCTCCTAAATCTAATTCCGTCAGGTTAGAACAGGGATCGAACATGTGGTCTGCGAGCTGTTTTATTTTGTTAGCATTTAGCCGAACAACTCTTAGCGTTGGAGAACATGCGTTCAGCAGAAGCTTGGTCTTGTTGAGCTCAACGTTTCCATTAAGCCTGATTTTATTCAATGAATTCCTGAAGCTCGGAAGCACATCAGCAACACTCTGGGGTGACATATGAACATCCATGAAGTATAATGTTTGCACTGAGGTCAAAAATGTCTTTTCTGTAACATTCCATGTCATGGTTCCATTTTGACCGCAATAGGATAAATCAAGGTGATCGAGGGATGGAAATATATTGTCAGTGAGCTGAAATGTTGCCAAAGGGTTGTTGGACAAATCAAGCCTTTTTAACGACAAGGGCTTTGTTGCCATCTCATATGAGTTGAAAACATCAAAATTGTTGCTTCCGATGTAGAGTTCCTCCAAACATGGTGGTGCAAGAACCGGCTTCACTCGGTCTATGTAATGGAGGTGGTTTTGTGTTAGGTTTAACACCTTTAAATTCTGAAGCGTGCTGAAAGCTGACTCTTCAATGTCTTTGATATTGTTGTCATCCAGACGTAGCACTAGCAGGTTGCTTAGGCCGTGTAGCATCCCGCTTGAGACTGCTTTCAGGCTGTTGCGGGCCAGATTGAGATGGGTCAAGTTGGAAAGATCGTCAAGTGCGCCCTCTTGAATTTGTGAGATCTTATTGTTGGATATGTTCAAGTCCTGTAAGTTTGACAAATGCCTGAAGTCTCCAATCTGGATCTGTGCAAAAGCATTGAAGGAAATATCTAAAATCCGGGTATTTCCGGGTACCCGCGGAATCCTGAAAAAGCCCATTTTGTAGCAGAGCACTTTCGGCTGCGTGTCTTTAAGGGGAGTACTGATGGTGCAGTTCTTTAAGGAAAATGCACTAGATGGGGAAATAAAACCACAGAAGGCAATGTATAATGTGATTTGTTTTAGTGTTCCCATGTTTTTTCTTGATTCTTTTTTCATGTCAAACAGGAGATACATATTTATTCTGTGCTCTTCAAGCAGCAGTGTTTGGCTTTGAATTTCCTACAAATAAAAAATAATAAATTAATTATTTAAATCACTACATAAAAAAAAAAAAAAAAAAAAAATTGGTGCTGTCAAATCAATTAATTGCAATTAATCGCAAGTGTATATATATTATTATATTATGTATATGTGTGTGAGTTTGTGTGTGCGTGTCTGTGTATATATACAATACATATACACACATATGTATATATATATGTGTGTGTATATACAGTATATACACAAACACACACAAAGAGGCATATATATAATATACATATATAAATATAATAATATACAGTCAAACCAAACATTATTCAGACACCAGAATTCTTTAGTTTAATTTTATTTTTACTAGTGGGTGCAGGACAATATAGTTCATTTATGTAAGTGAGGATAGCAAAATAAAGTAAACTGTTACATATTATACCCAAATATTCTTCATACAGTGGACTACCAGTAAAAATTTATACAAATTTGGGACCAAAAATTATTCAGACACTTTAACCTGACCATGTTTTTTCTTTAATTGCTAGTGCGGCCTTTTTACACCACAGACTGAACAAAATTAAGCATTGCTTGGTAATTTGTTGACCTAAATTGCTATTATAATTGTGTACTTAAATTTAACAGCTGACATCTGACAGCTATTCAACCTAATTCATTTGTGAGACAGTCTAACAGAAGGATGGCCAAAACCAGTCAAATATCAACTGATTTGATAACTCTGAGATCTTGCCATACGTTATTACCGTTTTCAAACTATAGTGAATAAACTGTGATAATGTGAGAAATGTTAAAGGTGTCTGAATACATTAGGTTTGACTGTATATACACACACATATGTTATGTAAACACAAACTGTTATGTTAGATGCAATTAATCGTGATTATTCGATTTGGCAGCACTAAAAAAATGACACAAATGATACATTTAAAAGTAATACACAGTAGTAAAAACTGAAAGATAAGTCAACTTTTGCATAGATAATTGTGAGAAATTACAATGAAGTGAATCAGTAAATAAACCTCAATCTATCAAATTATATATCAAAAGGTTGATGTTTTCATATTTGCTGTAAAATGGCGAGACAACCTCTCGCAAATAGAGAAACACAACCTGCAATACTTCATTCCATCAGCATAAGCACAAGAGAAAGCATAACTCTCTGTTTCCAGCAGTTTTACTTGCAGTTTTCCTGCAAAATAACTACAGTTCTTTATCAAAAACACACCAGTGTGTGATAAATATATAGCCACATGGAATATAATTTACTTACTGAAATCATTATAATCTATAAAATCAACGCTTCATTCATTCCAAGGTTAATAGAATAGAATAGAATAGAAAACTTATATATAAACAAACATATGCCTCCAACCGTACTACTAATATATAGAAATAAAACATCTTACTCACAAAGGTTCACCTCTTCATTGAGTTATTGTCTGCTAAAACCCAGGAAAACAACAGGCATGGTCTTGTGTGTTATGTTGTCTAGCAGGAAGTGAAGTTATATGAGAGAGGAAAAAAACTGAAGTAAAACCTGTATAGCCTATCCACAAACCTTGTAGCTTCACACCTATGCAACACCTGTGGCATATGACCCTAATCTGATTCTAATCAGACAAGTGTTTAATATCATTTGATCATGTACGGGTTTGTACGGAAGCGTATTGCATTCACTTGAAGAAAAAAATCTACTCTGTTTTTCTGAATTAATGAGTTAATTATCTCAGAATTACAAGATCATTTTTCATGGACATTTTTTGTTGCTCTGTTTTTATGAATTAACGAGTTAATTATCTCAGAATTACAAGATAATTTTTCATGGAAAAAAAGTTTTTGCTCTGTTTTTCTGAATTAACAAGTTAATTATCTCAGAATTACGAGATAATTTTTCATGGAAAAAAGTTTTTGCTCTGTTTTTCTGAATTAACGAGTTAATTATCTCAGAATTACGAGATCATTTTTCATGGAAAGAAGTTTTTGCTCTGTTTTTCTGAATTTCTGTGTTTTTGAGATAATCAAGTCATTAATTCAGAAAAACAGAGCAAAAAAAAATTTTCCATGAAAAATTATCTTGTAATTCTGAGATAATTAACTCGTTAATTCAGAAAAATAGAGCAAAAACTTTTTTCCATGAAAAATTATCTTGTAATTCTGAGATAATTAACTCGTTAATTCATAAAAACAGAGCAACAAAAAATGTCCATGAAAAATGATCTTGTAATTCTGAGATAATTAACTCATTAATTCAGAAAAACAGAGTAGATTTTTTTTCTTCGAGTGAATGCAATACGCTTCCGTAGGGTTTGTGCGCTTCTGTGTTGCCTTATGGGATCATAGTATGGGATAGGCCTACCCCACAGCCTGTCATTCTGTGGTCATGAAATAGGGATGTGACCAACAGATGACCACATAAACAATGAAGTGAGTAATATTAATCACATGAGAAGTTGTTCTCTCTTCTCTATTTCCTCCAGTCATTGGAAGAATTTTGTTTAAGTTAATGATTAATTACTTGGAATGTTGTGTTTAACTCTTTATGACTCTCTCTGGCTCATGTTTTGCTTACACTCTTCTTGACGATCATTACAATAAAATGGTCTTTTGGTATTGCAACACACATTTTGTTTTGGTGCCTGGCAACATAAGTTTAGCCTAAATATAGTAGACATCATGTGACTCAGCAGTATTACATTAGTCTATATTTAGCCTACTTTTAGATAAGAGGATCTCCAAAGAGAATAAAATGACAAAATCACCTGTTCAAGGCTTCAATGATTTTGTTACAAGATCATACCATTTTATCACCAAAAGAATTGTAAAACAAACGCAGACATCTGTATTAATACTGTTAAAGTTATCTTTGTACTATTAGAATAATAAGAACTCACGTATTATATTGTCAATTTATTATTTGTAAAAAAACAGATTTTTTTTTTTATAAATAAATGCATATTCCTACATTTGTTTATTTATTGGTTGACACTGATTTCTGTTACATTGAAATTGATTATAATTGCACAATAAATTTAGGAGAAAAGAGGCAGGAATTTATAGAAGATGTACAAAAAAATGGATGTTTAAAAAAACTTTTAAAAAAGAAACAGCGCTCTCGTGTGATAGACTAAAGAAACAAAAAAGGCGTAATAGTTGAACCCCGAGAGCGTGTTAGTTAAATCCGTTAAATCTAGATCGATTATTCACGTCTAACACTGTATCAATGGACGCCGTCGACTTGTTTAGAAAGCTTGGGTCTGGAGCAAAGTTTGATCTGAAAAGGTTTGCTAAAGATGCAGAGAGGTTTAAGGTAGGTTTTGATGCAAAGTACATAATACATTTAACGTATGCTGGGCTGCTGTTTTATAAAACGAAAGAAATACGTAAATTTCGACTTGAAATGCTGCCACATGGCTAACATGTGATCCATTTCCCATTGAATCTCTCTGGAAGTGCTAGTGCTAATCCGAATGAACCCAAACAACGCTAATAGAGTGCTTTAACAAGTAGTATGAGATAGTAATGGACATTTTCCACATTTTAAACATCATTAGTTTGGTTACTGCGTTGCACAGTCAATACTAGAAACAGGAATGTTGGTTGTTACTGTTCTACAGTACTAAATAAACACATGTTCATTTGATCACTTTTAATTCTTGTGTAACTCTTCTCAGGTAGTGAAGTCTCAGAGCAAGTACAGCTCACAACAGCTGGCTGAAACCAGCTTTTTTGGCACAGAGACACAAGAGAACGCTTCTCTGGAGTCCAGACTTAGTGAAGATGATGGTGAAGAAGGGAAAGAAGGGAGTGATGAAGAGCAGGCCTCTGGTAAACGGAAACGTACTGAAGTGGATGAGCCAGTGAAGGCTGCACGGAAGAAAAAGAAAGGAGCTAAGAGAAAATCTGAAGGTAATTCATCTTTCAATCTCTTCAGATTGCTAGCAGGTAGGGCTGCAACTAACGATTATTTTGATAATCGATTAATCGGACGATTATTTTGATAATCGATTAATCGGACGATTATTTTTTCTTCGATTAATCGATTAATCGGATAAAAATTTCAATTAGATTTTTTGTTTATTATGACTAAATAAAACCCGGTTACACTTTATTTTAAGGTGTCCTTGTTACAGTGGAATTATATATTTAAGTACAGAGTAATATTAAGTAACTACATGTACTTACTATAGGAATAGGGTAGGATTAGGTTGAGGGTTAGTTGCATATAATTATGCATAATTTACTGTTATTACCACAGTAAGTACATGTAACATATGTAACAAGGACACCGTAAAATAAAGTGTTACCTAAAACCCTAAATTAGGATATTTATGTGTAAAAGTGTACTTTAAAAAGTGCAAAAGCCACACATTGGCCCTCATTTATCATTCTTGCGTAGAAACGGGTGTATATGTTGGCGTAAGATTATGCTTACACTCCTCTCACCGCCTGATTTATGAAGCTGTGCGTACCTTTGAAATCCAGGTGTACGCAATGCCTGCCCTTGATAAATCCCGCGGCTAAAAACGATCGTCATTAGAATAGCACGCCCCTATATATTCAAGTCTCCGCTTCCCCCACGCCCTCATTTTACGCCATGGACACACGGAAGACGGCAAAGAAGAGAAACTTCTCTGACGTGGAGCCGAAATGACCTATCACAATGCAATATTTTACAGCACGTCTTACAGCACGAATTAGCATCTTACAGTCTATGATTAGCATTCAATTTCGAATCACGTCACATGTATTGGGGTGTACAATAGTGATGATGATGATGTGATGTGGAGTACCATTCATTCACATTAATAATTGCATGACAATTTGTAATATTCTTATTATTATTAGTATGATTTGTATTATTAATGACGCTTTTTGTTATTTAGAGGAAGAATGTCATTATTATTATTTGTATTATTATTATTATTTAAAAGAAGAAGAATGTATTTTTTATTATTTTGTCAGTCTGAATTATTTTTTGGTCATTGAAAGCCTTTCGTTACCGAACTCAGTCCGTGCGCACCTGCCGGGCCAAACCATGAAACGTCAGGGTAAAGCGCACAGGCTCGCAACTGAAGGAATACATATGGCTACAAATCAAATGCTTTGGTAAAGTCACACAAATTAAACATTGAAGTCCATGTTGCACAAAAATAAACACTGAAGTTTATAATTACTATGTTGTTGTTGTTGTTTTTTTTACTGTGGGTCATAATATATAATATCTTTTAGTTTGTCAGTGCGTTTTGTGGTGTTAGGAATTTTTTTTCTTCACATTTCCGCACTAACTCAAAACGTGCGTACACCACCTCCTGAGCTGGCGTAGGATTTGAGCGTGCCGTACGCCAACGTCCATATTGATAAATCTCAAAGTCACCGTGGTTTTGGGTGTACGCCAGGTGTACGCTGGAAATTTGGTGTACGCACTTTTGATAAATGAGGGCCAGTGAGTTTTACAAATATCAATATTTGCATTGTTTTTAATGATAATTGCTGATGGCAAGTTGACAACCATGATTAATGTAAAAAAAAAAAACATTTATATCCAACATATTGTTTTAACACAATTTTTGTTAAAACAAATTTACAGACATGTTGTTCAGATGTGAAGATATAAACTAAACATCTCAAATATATAATTCATTTAATTTTTATTTAAAATTAATTGAATCATAAGGATAATTTGTAAAAATAAATATAGAAAGACTGAAAACAAGCGTGTGAACATAGAGCCGCAGTAGATCGCGTTTGAAAAACAATTAAAACTTAATAGTAGACAAATGCTATATAAAGAGAACGGAATGGAGGTACGCAGCAAGCTAACAGGCTTGATTAAAAAGACAGGAAAAATGATGCATTAGTGCACAAACATTCGCTGAAAACCACTGAGTACAGTGACTAAAAAACAATAATTTACTGCTGCTGTTATTAACTGCCTTTATATTTAGTGCTTCGCTTTGTAAAGACCGTTTTAATTTTAATATTTCTGCGGTAGCACTATTTTAATCCATCACTTATGTTGCGAGCGAACTGATTGCGCAACCTGATGCTCGAGACAAAATACAGACATCCCAAGTCTCCCGGAAGTTCTGGAAGTCACCCGCATATTGATAGCGGCTCCTCGCAAATTAGTTCAAACTCCCGGGATTTGAGCACGCAAGCAAGAGCGCGCATGCGAGACAGAAGAGACTGTGCTCCAAACCGTGTAGCGCGAGCGCGCGGCAGAGCAACGGAGGGAGAGAGACCTTGCGTGTGTGCCTCATGAAGCGCGTGTAAGACAGAGAGCATCCTGATTGGCCTGTTTCAACCAATCACCAGTAAACGCTCACCGTGACGTAGGCTTGGGCAGTATCCAAATTTTGATACCGTCAAACCTCCTCCCTATTTTACCGCGGTATACGGTATTACCGCGTGATAATTCAAAATTATGACATAAGGCTCAGAAGGCATCACCAAACTGTTGGTTTGAGCAGGGATGAGTCACAATTTTCGAATATTTGATTTTATTATAGAATATGGAATAGGTTGTGGGATTATTGTCTAAAAAAAATCCCCATGTTTTCCGTTCTGATGCGGTGGTGACACGTTCAACCAGAGGGTGGCGATGCCAATAATGCATCTAAAAGCTGTCAATCAACTCTCAGACAACAGGAGAAGATGCACATTGTCTCACACCAGAGCATGCGAGCGGAGTGGTAATATTTCCTCCAGAGCAGAGAGCGCATTTCTGAAGATCCCGCGCCGCGTGCTCAGTCCACTCAGCGTCGCGCGCTCAGAACGCCCGCAGTGACATGCTGGTTAGAAAACATGTGAAGTAGGGCTGCCCGTGCACGACTAAAGGTTTTTTTTTCTAGTTGACTAGTAGTAGTTGATTTAAGCCATTAGTCTAATCACATATTTATATTGATTAAATTACTTAAATATATATAGGAGAGAATGCTAAACCATAATGAGCGTTTTCGTAATATATTGCCTATTCTGCATCTCAAAGCACGCATAAAGCTTGCCACAAAGAACCGGCAAAAGTAATTATAATGCATGAAACATTTGAATTGTTTATTAATGAAAAACTTTCTATGTCAGTGGCTGCACAGATAAAGTTTACGATGCAGACTCTCATCTTCGCAGTAGTGAACGCGCATAGAGAGAAATGCACACTTCATATGAATTAGCCTACACAGAGAGCAGCCCATTTCTTTTAGTTTTTAATTGTTTTGTTTAAAAGTAGACATTTCAAGCTTACTATATATATACACTTCTCAGATATTTAAGGCATCTATCTTATACGCTGAGTTTCGTTTTTTTAGGAGACGCGCTCCAGTTCACGCGCCGGTGCCTCCGTGTCCGGCTTATATTGTCTAATATATATGCTTTTATTTATTACTCCAGGCAATTCGTTGATGAAACATTGATTAAAATTAAGATACAATTTATACAAAACGAAATTCACTTTAAAGAAAGGCTTTCTACAAAACGAAAGCCTCTCACGGAGACTTCAGATGCCCCAACACCTGCGATGAGACGACTCGACGCCGGCGAAATGTTATGCCCTAAATTAATACATGATGATTAACTAACTATATTCTTCTATGTACATTTCTGAAATGCACTTTCTGTAAAGCTGCTTTGAAACAATATGTATTGTGAAAAGCGCTATACAAATAAATTTGAATTGAATTGAATTGAAAACAAAATGTAATAAGTGGTCAAAAATCATGTCTGACCCATTCCAAATGTTTTCCGATATTGGGCATCTTATCATCCTATCTTATTCATCTCATGCAGTTTCCTTTTCATATAATCAACATAGATGAAATAAAAAAATAACAACATTATATTATTAAACATAAATATGAAAAGAAATACGTTTTTTTTTTACTTATAGCCTATTTAAGTGTCACACCGCTCCGCTGTATAGCTGTGTAGCCTACATGCATGTGTGTGTGCATATGGTGGAGGGGTGCGATTTTCGAATAATAATCAAATAATACCAGGCGATCTTCAAATATTATTTTTGCTTGAAATGCCCATCCCTGCCAAACTGCAGAAGTCGTGTTCTTCTTCGAGACCAGGTCACTCGGTGCGCAACTTGCCATCTTTCCCCCTCTCTCCCCCACTCTTTCTCCTCCACACTGTCACGTGATGACAACCACACATAAGCATTTTTAGCCATTAAATAAATTATATTTAATATTTAATCCTTGTCTCCTATATAAGTGCATTGGATTTTTTTTATGACGGTATGACGATATTGAAACTGATACCGTTGCTATTTTTAGATCCCGCGGTATACGATATTACCGTATTACCGCCCAAGCCTACCGTGACGTAGGCAGACCAACTAATCGATAATGACATTCGTTGACAACGATTTTCATAATCGATTATTATCGATTTTATCGATTAGTTGTTGCAGCCCTACTAGCAGGTCTATTATGGTTTTCAAACAGTTCTCTCTTCCTACTTTTGTGAAACAGACACAGAACCTGAAAAGAGTGCGGAAGAGGGGATCCAGTGGATGTCATCGCAAGACACTGCGAAAGACACCAAGAAAGAGTCTAAAGACAAGCTCTCTTTGAAAAGACTAAAGCAGCTTCATCAGGAGAAGGTATAATGTGTTAATATTGATCTTCTGTGGTCAGCCACAGTTGAATATTTTTGTTTAATACGGCTGATTAAAATTCTGACCAATGCTTATAATTTTCATAATATGGACAGTATTAAAATTTGATACTCTTTTGTCTAAATAAATCAAAACACTAAAATCATTTTTAAATGCTACAGGTGAATTTAGACATCACAACATTATAGTGTGCAGTATTAAAAATGGATATTCATTTTGATATTTGCATTTAACATTGGCTTTAAATAATGAAGTGCTATTATTATTATTATATATAGTAGAGAAGATAAATATTTACTTTGTGAAATATGGGGAATGAACATCACAATTATAAAAGGAAAAAAACAAACAATATTAATACCAGCCAATCTAGATAAATTAAAAAAAATCTTTAATAAAAAATCTGTCCCCCCCCCCCCCCCCGCAAATAGAGGATGTGTCTTATAGGATCTATGCCACTGATTTGATGTGATCGTATGATGATTAAATCAAAACCCATTATTGTTTAAGGTGAATCGGGTACGTAACCAGAACCGGATTAACGTGCACGGGACAGACATTCCAGATCCCGTTTCCACTTTTGAGGAGCTGCAGAAGGAGTATGATCTGGACCCACGAGTCATTCAAAACATCAAGACAGCGGGTTTCCAAACCCCCACACCCATTCAGATGCAGGCCATTCCCCTCATGATGCATGTATGACACGTGTCTGTTGGGTCAGATATAAATGTTTGTTTTCCTGGTCCTAATTTGAGTGTTTTGATTCCATATATCTGTTTGGTTTAGAAAAGGGAGATCCTGGCATGTGCTCCTACTGGCTCTGGTAAGACTATGGCCTTCTGTCTGCCCCTGCTGGCCCACCTTCGCCAGCCCCTCAACAAGGGTTTCAGAGCCCTCATCATCTCCCCCACCAGAGAGCTGGCCACTCAGGTAAACGTTCAATAAGTTAATAATTGCTGAATGCCACATCAAATAATCTACATGTCGCTGACTGTTCAAACGCATCGACTGACGTACTGAGTGCACTAAAGACTTGCATCTTTTTTGTCTCTAGACTCACAGAGAGTTGCTCAAACTGTCAGAAGGAGTGGGCTTCAGAGTTCACATGATCAATAAAGGAGTTGATGCTGTAAAAAAATATGGGCCCAAGTCAGCTAAGAAATTTGGTATGTTTTGGCACAAAGGCTCTATGAACGCTCATATTTATGGTATACCGTAAAACTTCAAATAGTAGCCCGGACTTTTATTTTCCCAAATCGTCGAACTGCACCGGCTTGTATTTGAGACAGGCGTCTATATGAGACAGGCCTTTATAATTTAGTGTTGAGATGTTGTTCATTGAGTGTATAGGCCTGTCTCTAATCTCTAAAAATCTCCAAATGCTCCACGTGAAACTGCGGTCTTCCGACCTTTTACTATCGTGTCAATTGATATTGATTAATATGCGCGAGGGAGAGAGAGCAAGCGCTCGTGTTGTTTGAAGACGGGAGAGTGCGCGCGCGGCCGGGGCGCTCTCTCTCTCTGCTCGTAACGCGCCCTGTCAGGCGCAGCAGTCATTCTATTCTACATCACTCATCGATCAAAAAAGGCTTTGGAGGGACAACAATTTGCTTTGGCGACCACCAAAAAGCGGACGACATGACGCTTTTAGAGGATTAAATACAACCCGAAACTAAAAAACAGACCCGGCCTCTAATTGAGACCGGCCTTTATTTACCCAAACCTGCAGCCACACCAGGCGTGTAAAAGACACAGGCGTCTATTTGGGATTCGGCTATTATTTTAAGTTTTACGGTATTTATATCATTATAACTTTCGGAAGAGTTTAATCAAGTGACAAGTCAAGTCATCTTTATTTATATAGTGCTTTGTATAATTATTATACCTAAAAACAAATAACAATATAATAGTAAATGTATGTAATAGATTAATGTATAAATCAAAAATAAATGTAATAGTTGGGCTTTGTTGTTAATTGTAGCCTTTATTATAGTCATCTGCAAGTAAATGTGCTCCCTATGTAGTTTACAGCATTAGCTGAGAGATTTTTTTATCTTTAATTTTCCTTTTTAATCCTTTTTTTTTAATCCTCTTGTTTTCCAGACATATTGGTGACGACCCCTAACAGATTGATATATTTATTAAATCAAGACCCTCCTGCGATCAACTTAAGTTGGTGAGTGATTTTCAATATCTCTGTAGTTTAGTATAAGTAAATCTCTTCAAGATAAATACATTAATAAAGTATTAATTATGTGTGTAGATTTTTCAAGCTTCCCCTCTAGCGTGAATGTGTGTTTGCTGTCTGTAGTGTGGAGTGGCTGGTGGTGGATGAGTCTGATAAGCTCTTTGAGGATGGGAAGAGGGGTTTCAGAGAGCAGCTTGCCACCATCTTCTTGGCCTGCTCTTCTCCCAAAATATGCCGGGTTCTCTTCAGCGCAACCTTTGCCACAGACGTAGAGAAATGGTGCAAACTCAACCTAGACAACCTCGTGTCTGTCAACATTGGACCCAGGTATCGAAACACATCATGTCATTTGCGTTGAGTTGCGAGCATAGGTTAAATTGGGACGGAGCGCAGCTTCAGCACCAAATATATACATTTTGTTGAGTGTATATAATGAAAGTTATGAAATAATTGGCTAATATTAACTCGAATTTGGTGCTGCAATGATTCGCCCATCGCAACGATGACCTTCTCGTCTGAGCTGCTTCAGCACTCACCCGCTCGTCAATGTCAAAATGTTTGAGTCCAATCAAAGCAAGTGGGATTTATGTTTGACTTTTCACTGTTTGTATCACTCCGCTTGTTCGTGTTTGCGCAACTTGCATCATTAAGCCAGAAGGCGGCGACAAGTGACTGTCTTTATGAGTGAACAATTGAACCATGGATTAAATCAGTGGTCTCAAACTCGCGGCCCGCGGGCCATTTGCGGCCCGCGGGGTGATATTTTGTGGCCCCCTACTTGACATTAAAGTTTAATGTTAGTGCAGCCCGTCGTTGCGTGTGCCGCGTTTTAAATTTTTTATTATTATTTTTATCCCTTATGGGCTACCATAGATAGTCTCGTGACAGCTTACGGTGGGTTTGTTGTCAATAGTTGTCATAGACAACCGCGAAGTACAAACATACTGCGCCTGGAATAAAGAGCGCGTCGCTTCAATTATGAGCGCGCTTGCCGCGCGCCTACATTTGAAATATAGAACTTGAGCGCGCAAAATATGTGAGCGCGATATGTGAACAGGCGAGCTGCCACCAATCAGGCCACGAGCTACTGGCAGCTCGCGAGCGACGTGTTGGAGAGAGACCCTGCTCTAAAACAATGTGAGAATAATCATTTTGAGCTTGTAATATGTGTCCAACAGGTTGATAAGAAGGTTTGCTTTGATTTGTGCAGTCAGTAATTTGAGACACTATACATGTGTAGAAAGAATTCAATAAGACGGGCAGACATGACTGCAAATATTTGTATTTCAAAAGCAATAATTGTTTTTCTAAGTATAATAAAAGGAAATGTGCCTTCCAAAAAAAAAAACAACAACATTCAATATCATTAATGTGTTGTATAAAGAAAATAAAAAGGACATAAGCAAATATAAATATCACAAATATGTGTTATAGACTAAGAAAGTTTGTAAAAATGAACTTCAACTGTCAGAAGGACAGCTCATGAAGAACCAATCATGTACAGAAAGGAATGTTCAAATTCAGAGGAACAGTTCAGAAGAAACGTTAATAATAAATATTGAGAAGATTGGATCAGTTGTGCTCCTTTTTTGGAATACTTGAATACTATTTTTTTGTGGAATACTTGATGCGGCCCAGCCTGACCCAGACTCTACCTCCAGCGGCCCCCAGTTAAGTTGAGTTTGAGACCCCTGGATTAAATGAACAGATTAGCTAGTCCAAAAATATTGATTAATTTAGGAAAGAAAAGTAGCTGAAACTGATCTTTGATATTCATACTAATTGCTCATATGCCTCTGGGCACAGAATGATTGCATTGGCGTTTGTTTGAAATGTAACATCTACAAAATAATCCTTGAATCATTTCTTATTTAAGGACGTTCCCGTTTCGAATATGTGATTGTGTATTGTCAACAATATGCATAAACATTCTGCATTTCCATCTTATAGTGTGGATCACTCATTGCGACATTTAAACTGATTCTCATGTTAAAGAATCTGTTATCTGATAAAATAGGCCTACTTCATGCTGACCACTGACATGCTTTTAAAGCTACTGTTGTCCTTTTTTTTGGGGGGCTTCAAAACACCTTAAAATGGACATGTTGAGATCAGGAAAAGCTAAATTTTCTTTCTTTTTGGAACTTTTATTTATAAAAAACCCTGTACGGCCCTGCGTGTCGGTGTGATTAAATCAAACAACAAATTGGCCCCGATCCTTTTAAATCAACATTTTTTTCTTGTTTTAAAAAGGTATTTGCCAAACAATATTTTCAAACATGTTCAATTTCATACATTTCCTGAGGGTGAAATCCGTTGCTGTCTGTTAACATTAAAGGTAAAAAAAAAGAAAAGAAAAGTGAATTGTAAAGTATTGGTCTTTGTTTAAATAAGAACTCAACCCTACCTTACACATTCATTCTGGAAAAAGAGCCTCTTTGGTGTAAAAACACATTAAGTCATTTTACGACGCGATTTTGAATGATGACCATTCACCGTAAATACGGGATCCCCCTCCCTATAAAAGCCAATTTAACCACTGGTTACGAGCTAAAGTTTTAATGCTTATTTTGTAGTAAAAGTTAACTATTTTGGTTGGAAGCTTGTAAAGACAGCAATAGGACAAAATACATCAATAAATAACAACATGTTGAAATGAAACTCTGCTCTAGTAGGGTTGAATTAAACGCATACCTGATTGTCTCCGTCCACAGAAACTCTGCAGTTGATACTGTGGAGCAGCAGCTGCTGTTTGTGGGTTCAGAAAATGGAAAGCTACTTGCCATGAGAAACCTTATAAAGCAGGTCAGTGAAGTTCTCACTTCGGTTTTTTGGATGAGCAAATATCAGGTCTTACTTCATAGCAAAAAAGAAATAAAGATCCTGAATTTCATCAGTCAGATGCATCATAAGGAGAAGTGATTTTTTTAGTACTACGATCGTCATAACCTCACATAATTTCCTTTCAGGGTTTTTTGCCGCCAGTGTTGATCTTTGTTCAGTCTATTGACCGTGCCCGAGAGCTCTTCCATGAGCTGGTGTACGAGGGGATAAACGTGGACGTGATCCATGCGGATCGTACACAACAGCAGGTGATTAAACACAACCAGATTTTCATTCAAATAATTTAGATTTTTTAATGAAGGCATTAATCATTCATTAAAATGTTGACATTAATTATGCACAATTTGCTGTTACTACAATAGGAAGTACATGTAACAGGGGCACTATAAAATAAACTATTGTCACTAACGAATATTTTGGTATTAGATTATTTTGACGATTAGTAGAGTAATCAGATTTTTTTTTTTTGTGGTAACAAAAATAGACCTAAATGATGACTTAAAAAATGACTTAAAATACATATATTAAAAATGAGGCAATAATAAATGGTTCAAATAAAGTATCAAAAGCAAGTAATCATATGGTTTAATTTGAACAATGTACATAATGTAATATACATGTAAACATAATCAACTTTACACATTACATATGATCACAAATGCCTGCAGAGGGCGCAAATGGCCTGGTAATTGCTGTTACACTTGTTTACAGCATGATCAAATCCTTGTTTCATTTTGGCTAAACATTTAATTCACATGTTCACATAATCTTTAATATTTGGCCACTTCTTTATGATAGGAATGCTACAGCCACTGTAATTTCTTGAACAATATTTCAAAACTTTCGAACTCCAATAAGTGAGAGTTTAAACTTTTATTTTGAAATCGCAATGAACAACAATTTGTATATTTAGAAACCATATTGATGTATTCTCCTGTGTTGGCATAGGTTTATAAATGATTTACGTTAAAAACCTGGTGATATGGCGCACATTGCGTTCACAGATGAACGGCAACCCAAACTCAGCATATGCAGAGATGGAGTTTGTTAACTGAGCTCCTCCACGCTTGTAACAGTGCAACACTTGAAACAAAGCGCAACTGACTTTATATCCGTTTCCAAATGCACGTTATTGAAAACTCACATCTGAGAGCATTTACTGTGAACGGAGACGCTGGAAGGAACGCGAAACCTGCAGGCATGTAAATAAAGCATTGCACTTAGCTCTGAAACACAGTGCATATATTTATTTAATTGAATCACGGCCTTTGTAATTTCACAATAGCACTGTTATATTATGGTTTATATATATCGTGCTGTGTTTTATTAAACTGTCTAATAATGCGTTTCATGGATTCTTATCTGTGGAATGCGGCACTTCCGGTTAATCGACGGTAAATTGCAATCAAGGATTTTGTCAAATCGAGCATTCGAATTTAATCGAGGAATCATGACAGCCCTATTGTTACTGTTTGTTCTTGTTAGCTCAGGTCTGTTAAATATTAACAGATACAACTTTTGATTTGAATAATGCATTAATAAATGTTAAAATGAATAATAAATGCTTTAGAGAAATGAAAATGTATATCATAGGTAACAAATGGTTCCATTTGTAAATGCAAGCTAAACTCAATGAAAAATAATTCTATTTAGTTTATGCCCATTCTTATGACATAAAAAGTCATGTTTCCTTGTGTCTCTCATCAGAGGGACAATGTTGTGAGCAGTTTCCGTTCGGGGAAGATCTGGGTGCTGATCTGCACGGCTCTGCTGGCTCGTGGAATCGACTTCAAGGGCATCAACCTGGTTGTCAACTACGACTTTCCTACCACTGCTGTGGACTACATCCACCGGATCGGTTAGTCTGAGTAGAGGATATGAATTCATGTTGTGGAACTTTATCATACTAAGCTTGTTGCTTTGTTTTCTTTGTAGGGCGAACAGGAAGAGCTGGACACAAAGGAAAGGCAATAACTTTCTTCACAGAGGATGACAAGCCTCTCCTTCGCAGGTAATGACAGCACTGTTCAACTAGTTATTACAAGGTTAAACCATCATTTGACATTTCAGGGGCATCAGTTTTCTTATGGCAAATGATTGCAATAACATCTGCTCACTTTTTTGTTGTTGTTATGGATCAGCATTGCTACTGTCATAAAGAAGGCTGGATGTCCTGTCCCTGACTACATGATCGGGTTGAAGAAAATCAAACGGTGGGGTTACGCCGTTATATTATAGGCTATAGGCGTGTTTTTCAGTTTATATACCTTATTATACCACTTTCAAGAATCTGTCTAGTATCAGTTCCTTATTCATTACTGTGGTTTGGAGATAAAGCATGTTTAGATTCATAAAATGCTTTATGGGCTCTATTGTTGCCATCAAATGTCACATTATAAGACCTCTAATTTTTCACCCCACAGCAAATTGAAACGTCAGCTCGTGACAAAACCACCCAGACGGTCAACTATTCGCACAACGCCTCGCATGCTCTTTGAGAAAAAGATCGGCAAGGGAAAAAGGTTTGTTCTGGATCACAGTGCAGATAGTGAATAGAGTTTGTTTTAGCCTCACAGAATGAAAAGAACAGGACCAGAATGTATTTGACTTAATTATAATGGTGGTTTTTGTTCTTTTACTTTCACTGTTCATTTTCAGGAAAAAAAGAAAAGCTGCAGACAAAGAAGCTGAAGCAAAAGGCGAACCATCAGAAGTTGTTTCTAACAGCTGATGTGGCACACCGTACAGACTGCTCATTTTTTTCTATCCATCTTATTGTCTTTAATAAAATGAATGCTTACCAGTGTGTGTGAAGATCTTATTGTTGTGACCATCTACAGTTGGAACAGAGCTTATTGAAACCTGTAGTGCTCTTCCAGTTACAGCACATAAAACATTTCCACGAGGTACTGGAAGAGGGTCCATTCAGAATGATTTGTTTTTATCAGATGAGACAGGCTTTTAACCGATAGAGATATCATTCCACAAAGTGGTGATGTCACATACCAGTAGTCCGAGGGCGCTGTATGCACGTTTGCAGCAGTGTTGCCAGATTGGGCGGTTTTGAATTTGATTGTGCGGGTAAAAAAGGGTTTGGGCGGGTGGTCAAAATTTGGGCTGGTTTGGGATCATTTCGGCGGTTTTCAAACATCTACATTTTAAAGTCTAATTGGTTAAAAAAACGAAACTAAAGTGCATGTAGTCCATAAAATCAGTCATCATGACATTACTGTACACACACTCTCATGCAGAGTCAGCTGGCGTTGGTATTGACATCACCGACGAGCACGCACTTTTAGCCAATCAGCGATCCGCAGGCAGACGCGATTGAGCGCGAGAAGTTGTAGCTGTATATTCAAGTGATCGCTAAGGCAAAGTGACATAGCCTACTATACAAAAGAGTGTACAGTAGTGAGCAACTCTAAAAAACGCACACGTGGAAGGAGATCACTCTATGGTGAATATAACTGAGAGGAGAGCACAGTTGAATGACTTGAATTGAAATCAAATATGGGACGATTCCTGTCCATGTCATATGTGCACACTAGCCTAACCAAACATCTGCAACTTTACACCATCCAGACTGCACTCTACTCGTCCCTGACAGCTGCTGAAAAAGGTTTGAATCAACGATGAATCCGTTTTGACTGCTAAATTCTGCGTTATGTTCTGCAATGTGTACTTCCGAGGGTTAAAGTCATCGGTTCATTTCTTGATTGCCGTTTTGACAGTGTCCACCTGGACATTTTAGTCATATTGGCTAATTCTCCTTAATTATTGCCCTGTTTTGCTGGAAAATGTATTTATTTTTTATTTTATTTTATCATCGTTATTTTGTTTTAAGGAGATACAAATTGTGCTTATCAACCTTAAATGACATGGCAATACAATTATATCACATTATTTTGGTAGTAAAATTTTGGGCGGTTTTTTCTTGTAGTGGGCGGGTTTTGGTGAGCTTTTGGGCTGGAAATCACCGTCCCAATCTGGCAACACTGGTTTGCAGTCCATATATGGATCACATGAAGAAGAGCCATAATCATGTGACATTCAGGAAGTCCTGACACAACAAAGCTATCAGAGATCGCTGTAAAGTGCAGATAAAGATATTTTGAAGACAATAAACATGATTGCAATGATATTTGATATACCTGTGTTCTTCGAGCCATGTCAGGTATTTTCATAATAATAGATTATATGTATAATGTAATGCTAATCGATATAGATCTTTCACATTGTGCAGAATACAATAAAATAATATATTTTCTATCTGATTTTTTTATCTGAAGCCAAATCAGATCAGAGAAAGTTATTTAAAACACTCGACTTGCGCTATAAAGTAAGTTTGGAGCACAAACATGATTTTAATCTCATAAATTGTCGTGTATTGATGGTGTGCTAAGCTAACATGCTAGCTAGCTCTGTGCACCTGCTACCTAACTTCGGTGTAATTTTTTATGATTTTTTCTAAATAAGAATGCTTACTGAAATGTTTCTTTTTTCAAAAAGGGCATTTGATACAGTTTCACTGTGAAGTGAGAACTTTTATAAAAGAAATGAGGGATTGAAACGGTGTGAATTGCTAGTCGTTAGTGATTATAATGCAGACAAAAGAAAAGCATATTTAGAGCCATAACCAGGCTGAAGAGGTGTGAATGTGTGCAGGGGAGACTGACACTGAATGGGGCTCGTTTTGCACCACAAAACAATAGAGGCAATAGACTGAATAGATGCTCATAAGATGAGAATAATCTGCTTGCATTTTAGAGTCTAATCAAAATAAAGTCATATGACATGATCTTGAAAAACATTGAACTAAATACAGAGTTTTAGACTTATCATCTTCAGATTTTAAATATAACATGTTCAGACATGTGGCTTTAGCTGCAGTGCATTTCTAGATTGCTACAATGCCAACTTAAATTTTATTTTCATGAAGATGTTTCATAAAAATAAATGGATAATAACTTTACAAAACTTTGTAGCTATTTATAACTATTTTTTTTTCATTATGACAATAATTAATTCTACATTTACAATAAACTTCCAGGTGTCAGCTTTCAAATGAGATCTTACTTGTTCTTTTAGTACAAAGGGTTCATGAACTGTATCTGTTTTAGTTTGGGTATGCCATATCTGGGGATTTTTAAAAAATGGGGTTGCAGCTTAACAGGTTAAAAAAGGTCAGAGAAAAAAGTAGCACCATGGTACAATAATACTACGTATGTTTTAAAGAGAGAAACCCGTAATTTAGAGCGTAAATGGAAAAAAACTAATTTAGAGGTCTTTAGAATCGCGTGGAAAGATAGTATGTCACGTTATAAAAAGGCCCTTAAAACAGCCAGGGCTGAGCACCTCAGCAAACTAATAGAAAACAACCGAAATAATCCAAGGTTTTTATTTAATACCGTGGCTAGACTAACAAATAAACAGACGTCGTCTGAACAAAATACCTTGTTACAGTTTAGTAGTAATGATTTCATGAACTTCTTCACTGAGAAAATTGAAAGCATCAGAATCACAATCGTAAACGCTCAATCTTTGCTCGCGCCTTATAATTCAGCCGCAATTATCACCCCGCAAGAACAATTACAATGCTTTACAACCATAGAACAAAAAGAGTTAAATAAACTTATCACTTCATCTAAAACAACAACATGTTTATTAGATCCTGTACCAACTAAACTATTGAAAGAAGTGTTACCTATAGTGGAAGAGCCTCTTCTCAATATTATTAACTCATCTTTATCTTTAGGTCATGTTCCAAGAACGTTCAAGCTGGCAGTTATAAAACCTCTTATTAAGAAACCACAATTATATCCAAATAACCTAGCAAATTACAGACCCATCTCAAATCTTCCATTCATGTCAAAAATATTAGAAAAAGTTGTGTCCGCTCAACTCGGCTCTTTCTTGCAAGAAAACGACATCTATGAAAAGTTTCAGTCTGGATTCAGGCCACATCATAGCACTGAAACTGCGCTTGTGAGAATCACAAATGATTTACTTTTAGCTTCGGACCAAGGCTGTATCTCAGTACTAGTTTTACTTGATCTTAGTGCTGCGTTCGATACTATAGATCACTCAATACTCTTAGATCGACTACAAAATTACACTGGTGTTCAAGGACAAGCATTAAGCTGGTTCAGGTCATACTTATCTGACCGCTACCATTTCGTCTACTTAAATGGAGAAAAATCGATCATAACTTCGGCAAACTATGGAGTGCCGCAGGGATCTGTGTTAGGCCCTTTATTATTCTCAATATATATGCTGCCACTTGGTAATATTCTAAGGAAACATGGAATTAGTTTCCATTGTTATGCCGATGACACTCAAATATATATTTCATCACGGCCAGATGAATACGCTAAATTATCCAAATTGACAGATTGTGTTAAAGATATAAAAGATTGGATGACGCGTAATTTTCTTTTATTAAATCCAGACAAGACAGAGGTAATACTTATCGGTTCTAAAAACCGTCCACAAAACCTTTCACAGCACGACTTTAACATATTAGGATGCCCTGTTACTTTCTCCCCTACAGTAAAAGACCTGGGTGTTACATTAGACTGCAACCTGTCTTTTGAAAAGCATATTTCATATGTTACAAAAACAGCCTTTTTCCACCTTAGAAACATTGCTAAGCTACGTAATATGCTATCAGTCTCTGATGCAGAAAAGTTAGTTCATGCATTCATGACCTCGAGACTAGATTACTGTAATGCTTTATTAGCTGGTTGTCCTGCATCTTCAATAAACAAGCTACAGTTAGTCCAAAATGCAGCCGCTAGAGTTCTTACTAGATCAAGAAAATATGATCATATAACACCGATTCTATCATCACTTCATTGGTTACCTATAAAGTTCCGTATTAATTATAAGGTATTGCTTTTGACTTATAAAGCTCTAAATGGTTTAGCTCCAGTCTATTTAACGGATCTTCTATCGCCCTATAATCCATCGCGCTCTTTAGATCACTAAATTCGAGGCTTCTGGTCATTCCTAGGATATCCAGATCCACCAAAGGAGGGAGAACATTTTCACATTTAGCTCCGAAGCTCTGGAATAGCCTTCCTGATATTGTTCGTTGCTCAGACTCGTTCTCCCAGTTTAAAACTAGCGACTAAAGACGCATCTATTTAGCCAGGCATTCATATACATTTTTTATCTTACAGTTACTGTAAATTCGGCCTCTACTTCATAAACGCCAGAGGAGAACTGGCCCCGACTGAGCCTGGGTTCTCCCAAGGTTTTTTTTTCTCCATTGGGTCATCTGATGGAGTTTTAGGACACCATCGGGTCACTTGATGGAGTTTTTCGGTTCCTTTGCCACTGTTGCCTTTGGCTTGCTCAGTTGGGGATATTCAAATTAAATGACCCATCATACCACTGATCAGCTCTACCAAACTTGGATGTCTTTTCCAGTAATAAACAAACACTGTTAAGTTGTTTTGATTGATACTGTGAAGGAGCTTTGATACAATCTGTATTGTAAAAAGCGCTCTATAAATACATTTGACTTGACTTGACTTTTAAAAACAGGTCAGAGTCATAAGCCTGGGGCCTGTACCATGATGGTAGTTGAACAAACTCAGGGTTGCAGGATTGGTTTAGAGTTGACAAAACCAAACTGATGCAATCAGGCTTTATTGGTACCATGACTCATCAACTTTCTCTGTCAACTCAGGCTTTGATCCTTAAACTATGATTACTCCACGGGCGCGTCCACATACAAGAGTGAAGTCGGCACCGAACAACCAATCGCGTTCGATATGGATAGACCGAGAGCTATATATTTTTCT